ATTTTTAGCATATATGTCACAGTCAAGGTCACAAGGTCATTGACCTTGGTGTCATGTGAAAGAGGTTACTTATTGAAGTATGCATACCAAATATGTAGTCTCAACCATTCATGGTTCAAAAGTTATAGCGAAGGTTAAAGTTTGCAGACAAACAGACAAACAGACAAACAGACAAACAGACAGACAGACAGGACAAAAACAATATACGCCTCGGATCTTTCGATGCGGGCGCATAAAAAGAACAAAAGAACAAACAATCGGTTTTCGTACTTAATAGTAAAACTAATTATTGAAATACTACATGTTATTATAAAGTAGATGCACCTCCTCTCAACAAGTATGTAGCAATGGTGTTCATCGCAAGCCCCCCTCCCCTCCCCCCCCCCCATTTGTTGAAGCATAGTCAAGTGAGGGCAATAAAGTAGTGTAAGAAAGAGTAGCATTTAGAGCTGAAAGAAGTTAGAACCTAAGAAAACATACCCCCCCCCCCAATATGATTTTCGAGTTTGGGGCAATATCCCTTTTTTCAGGTAAGTTGATTTTTCCCCTGGCTCCCCCATTTCAAAAATAATGCTACATCCCTGCTTAAATAATTATATTTTCAATTCAAAATTGATTGATTAATTGATATTTATCCATATTTTGGCGGTAACACATACTTGAAATTACTTTAAACTTTACAATGCATATTAAAAGTACATTTATGTCATCGCCAACGTGAAGCCCATTCTAGATTCTCTATTCGGAATTGAGACCCGCGTGTCCCACAACGCCACTCCAGGACACTACTATTAACCGATTATAATAAATCGATTCAGCAAATTAAACCAATGGGTCAGAGATCTACATCTGTTTTATGATGGTTCCAGTGCTAGCTAAATTATCTTTTTAACTCATCTGAGCTGAAAGCTCAAGTGAGTTTTTCTGATCACCCATTGTCCGTCGTCCGTCCGTCCAGCTGTAAACTTTTCACATTTTAAGGTTCTTCTCAAGAACTACTTGGCCTATTTTTAACCAAAATTGGCACAAAACATCCTTGGATTAAGGGGGATTAAAATTATTAAAATGAAGGACCAAGAAGGGGAGATAATAAATAAAAGACGAAAAAAAGATAAATCTTCTCAAGAACCACTGGGCCAGAAAAGCTTAAACTTTTGTGAAAGCATCCTGGAATAGTGTATATTTTAAATTGTTAAAATTATGGCCACCGGGAGTATTGCGGGGCCACAATATGGAATTCAATTTTTACATTGAAATATACATGTATTGGAATAATCTTTAAAAATATTCTTCTCAAGAACCACGGGGCCAGAAAAGCAGAAATTTAGGTGGAAGCATCCTAGGGGAGTGTAGATTATAAATTGTTAAAATCATGACCCCGGGTGTAGGGCGGGGCCACAATAGATGATATGTTTTACACTGAAATATGTAATTAAATCTTTAAAAATTTTCTTCTCAAGAACAACTTAGCCAGAAAAGATGAAACTAATGTAGAAGCATAATGGGGTAGTGTAAATTCTAAACTGTCCAACTTCTGGTGAAGAGCAACATAGTCAAAGTTAATCAGGTGAGCCTTGTGATCAATGGACCTCTTGTTTAAAGATAAGCTTGTATCATGTTAAAACAGTTTCTGATAGTAGCTCTCCCCTACTTCTGTCTGCTTTGGTTTAATTCTTCCCGGTTCTAAAATGTTAAAATGAATTGTGTTAAAAGTTGATAATACGGGAAAAAATCGTGTCTTACAACGGCTGGTAAGAAACACTCAAGTTTCCTCGTATTTAATATAGAGTTTTTGAGTTATATTTAATTATGTACAATGAAGTAAAGAGGTCACTACTTACTGTAATTAAAAATTACTCTTGTAGACGCTACTTTTTGACATTTATCTCTAATACCGAATCTGTTTTTTCATACTTCCTCAGTATTTAGTTGAGCGTTTGACCGGTATTTTATTTTATACAACAGCTTGTTTTTTTTTTTACTTCCTTAGTTTTGTCTTGCTTTTTTCCCCCACAAAATCAAAACTAGTACTATATTTTTTCTCAGATTTGAGCATTAAAGATGGCTGCTGTTTCCAATGCAGGTGAGTATAAACAATCTTTGTTATTGTTGTTTTGTATACATAAATTTATATTTATAAGTAGTAAGCTGAACGAATTATCGAAAACATTTGATTAAATTATTTTAAATTGTTATAGAAATGAGAAACTACATACACTTGTTTCTTTACTGTCTTGGTTTTTTTCCTTTTTCAGAAAAAAATAATATTAATTTATGAATGTTTGATTTAACAAGCATGCGCACTGTAATTTTTTTTGTAGATATTCTAATTATGGTCTTGAACAGCTCTGAATAAACCCCTTTTCTTTCATCTATAGCAAAAAGGTTTTGCTCTTCAAATTCACCTTTTAAAACCATCAAGTGTAGCAACATCGTCTCAAGCCACGGTCCGGAGTCCGCATATAGCTCTCTCCAGAATGGGAGAGGATCGTACATTGTGGCCGTGGTTTGCGACGATGGTGTAGCAATGTCCTGTATAGTTTGTCAAGTATTCAATGCTGCACCATTTTACCTTATTAAATACAAAGATTTTAGGATAGAATTTCATAACAATTATTAAGTCAGCAATGGTTATGGTTCCCTCAGATTCACCCACGCGCCCTGTTTTGGAGAAGGGGTAGAATGCAAGGTATAACGAAAACAAATATTATAGCGTTGACTTGTTTGGATTATCATTTCTTAAATAAATGTCCAATTTACAACACGGCCATATTTTAAATTTAAATTTCAAATCTCTTCATTTAAAATGGATGTCGACCAACGTGAAAAAGCGTGCATTTACGACAAATTCTAGAACGTGTACAATTACTCACACTAAACGAAAGTGGAGATATTTTAGTACCTTGATATCTTAGAAATTTGTAAGTTTTCTCTCCAAAGAATTTCTTATTACAGTGTAAGTTTTCTAGGAAATAAATATAATAAGTCTATTACAAACCTGAAGAACAGCCTTGTCAGCCTTGTTATTTTTACATTCTTTAAGGATGAAAAGAAAAGTGATTTAAAATTCTTGTTTAGATCAAATGAATAAATACAGAGATACTGCAAATGTATACTCTAAATTGCCGGAAGGCAAAGCCGTTGCCATGGAGTCATCTGGGTCTTCAGAGGAGGACGAAGAAGAGACTGACGCCCCACCGCTTCCCAAGCGTAACATGAGAGTCAAATTTCAAGAAGAGCCCCTCCCAAAGAAAGAGAAACCCAAACAAAAACAAAGTAAAGTATATTATCTAAAAAAAAAAATTCAAGCGATAGTATCATACAATCATAGTTAAATCAAATATGCCAGAATACTTTATTTCTTCCATTTCCAACCGTAAAATGTTAAGGGGTTATTTTTGTCAAATCGTTTGAAGATACCCAATTTTTAAGAGTTTTTATTGTATAACAATGTTATCTTTCAAGAGCGAAGTATATTAAAGTGGAAAGGTAATGCGTGCCTAGAAGCTTAAACTTTTTATCATTAGGCTTCATGCGAGCGTATAATACCATGATGTATTACCTATTAGTTATTTTCAATTATTAATTTGATTCCTTTACTTTAAGATCTTCTTTAAAAATTAAAGCAATGCAATAATATTTAAAAAAAGAATGCATAATAAGCCTCATGTGTTGACGAATTTTAGTCGTTTTAATCACTGCAAATCTTTAATATCTGTTTATTAACAATTTTACTCAAACAAAAAAGCTTGCTTGAAATCTACTAACCAATCATTGCACTAGTATGTCAGTTAAATCCTAATATACATTACAAAAGCAAAAGCTTTTAAATTCTTACATGTAAATTTAGTCAAAGAAATATTTCAGAACCAAATGGAGGTTTTCGCGAATATTTGCTTTCTAAATCGGTTTAATGAGGCGACAGTGCAGAGATTACTCAATAAAGATGAAGATTTTCAAACGTTAAAAATACTAAGCGAGGAAGACATTGAAAAGTTAGACCTAAAGACCGGACAAAAGGCAAAGGTACGAAGCCTGACCAGAGGTCAAGAAAGTTCAACAGAACACCGACTGTCTGATAGGCGGACACCTGTTAAGGTTAAAGGTCAAAGTTCAGATCAAGAGGAAAAAGAGCCACGATTTGTTAAGTGTTCTCAGGGTGAACGCTTTCCTGTCAAGAAATTATCCACAGACTCACGAACCAAGACGAAAGTTCAAGTGACAAAAAACACCACTGGGCTGGTACTTGTCTCTACTTCTTCTTCTTCCGGTAAGTTATTTGCGCATGCCAGCGATTATATTTCTTTGATAGTCCACCCATAAAGTTTTTTCAACGAACTCGTGAATTTTTAACATAAAAAATCTTTTTTGTTTAACAGCGTTTATCTGTGTTGTAAGTAAACGTCCGGTGATCTACGTAAATATCATTTAACTGCTCAGTTGTTTGTATCATATTCGATACATGTAATCATACAATAATAAAAAAATATCAAATTCCACGGTTAATATAAGTATATCATATTAAATTTAACCGCTTGTGTACCTGCTTTTCCAATCCAAATGTATAGAGACATTCACAGAAGCTTAAACTCTATAAAGTTGTCATAAAATTCTATTGCTCTATTCTGCAAAGCCTAATCACCTTATGTTAGAGATTCCTTATCATTAGCGACATTAAAATTCTTTCACAGCAAACACTTGTCATCAATTTCACTAAATATATTTTTTATCATTTTTGAGAATTTTAAATTTAAATACTTAAAGAAAAGTGTTTGTCGTACAAATTGAAATAAAATATTAAGACAATCTTAAAAAAACCTGATTCCCTTAGGGTCTGATGAGGACACGAAGGAGGACACGAAAGGAGAGGTTCGTATGAAGAGGGACACACTTCGGGGGGATAGCGTGAGGGTGGCAACCAAAGGGGAGAGGGACGTGGACCTGACTTACAAGGTGCTGCAGACAGACGGGAAAAAGGGAGGGAATTTATAATAAATTAATTTAGAAAAAAAAACCGTATTGCCGAAGCGAATTTCATAGCAACAATGATTATCATGTTAAAGAAAAAACAAAATATCATGTTTATTTCTTAAACTGCAGGGTAAAGTCGTAATGGAGCTTTCTACTAAACAAGACACGGAAATACATTGCGTCAAAGCTAGGATTCTGATTTTGGTTGATATAAGCGGGAGTATGGGAATAAATACGATA